TTGTACGCGGTCCATCCTTTCTTGGATTTGTATATTGGGAGAGGGAACTTAACATTTCTGGCATACTGAGAAAACAGTAATACTAGGAAAATTGTCAGCATGGCGATACCCCAATGTTTCCCTGCTCGCTCTCCTGCTGCCTGGAAACCCGAGAGGCCGATGAGGGCTACGGTAGGTGTGATGGTCAGTGGCCCGATGTACTTCAGCAGAGCCTCGGGAAGGCCCAGGAAGCCGATGACCACCTCAATCAGCGAGGACATGATGATGGCCCCCTGGATCTCTCGGATCCGTGGGTACCAGATGTGCTCTGTGTGCAACAGCTCTGCGGTCCCGTTGGCAATGGACATATCTGTGGTGTTACATTTCCATTTATCTAAAGACAGGATGGCTCGAGCAGGGGCCAAAAATGCAAAAGCACTGGCCTGAAACAGGGGTAACCTGCATCCAAATGTGGTCTGTAATAGGGTGGTGATTCCCACGCAGAAGAAGATGGTCCCGATGAGCTGGCTGGTGGCCCACTGGTCGTACCCAACGCACATGGCATCGGCCAGCAGGAAAGGCACCGCGATTGTGCCACTGAAGCAGGTCAGGTAGTGCTGTAGGCCCAGGAATATACACAAGTACCAGGGAGGAACATCTTCGATGGTGTAAATCATGTCCGACCTCTGGGGGTCTAAGCTTCCGGTGCTATCCAGGGTCTCTGCAAGAGAGCTCTTCTCCGCGATGCCGTTTTCTGTGGTGTAGACTGCCATGAGCTCAGTGTCTTCATTGTCTTGCTCAAAGCTGGACGTGGCACCTCCATTTATCACCACCGGAAGAGTAAAGAAGGTGGGATGCTTTGCTCCGGGAGCGGAGGCAGGAGCGGAGTCCAGCGAGCCACAGCCAAGTGCTAAGAGATGGGACTTGGGAGGCTCAACCTGGCCTGAGAATCGTGGGGTGCTTGCTGCCCTGGAAGAGCCAACACTGACTCCTCGGTGCCTCGCTCAGACAGGCCTTCGCTTCCAGCCAGCCCGTTCAGCGGCCACGCAGACCACTTAGCGTTTCTTCATGATGGGTATCGGGAAGAACACCACGTCCAAGTCAGTGGAGAATGGAAGTTCAACGGAAGGCAAATACGAGGATGAAGCGAAGCATCCTACAATTAGTTTTCTTAATTAGTTACCAGTAAGTTTGTATTACTAACCTTTCTCTTAGCATCAGATATTCAGTCCTTTGTCAAAATTTAGTCATGAATAAATAATACCCAAGATTTTCTGCCAAACATTGCATGGAATAAGAGTTAAAAATGACATGGTTGCTACTGTCAGATAATTCAATGTCTACTAAAGAATACCAGTCATGAGAATCTGGAGATAGTTGACGTAGTGAAATAGTAAAGAAGAACCCAGAGAACAGAAAATAATGCATTGTAGGATTGACACTAGAAATAGTCAAATAAAAAGAAAAGGAGGAAAGCCATATTAAAGATCATATTTTCAAAGTATGAGACAGAAAGGATGAAAATTTTTACTGAGCTGTTTAAATTATCAGATGCTTATTTAATACATTTCTGCATAGATAGTGTTGTTTTTTTTGTGTACCATAGAGTCAGAACCAATCCATACCTGACCCTCTGGAGTGTTTTCAGAGGCAATTAATTGCACAGGACAAGATTGCCCATCCTTCTCCCACAAAGCAGCTGGTGTCTTCGAACTGCATGCCTTTGGGATTGAAGTAAAGCTTCTTGCCACTAGGCCACCAGAACTCCCAGTCAGCACAGCCAGCAGACATACATATTTTAATACTAAGGTTTCCATCTGTTAAAAACAAACAAACAAACAAAACAAAAAACATAAAAAACAACCCTCAAACTAGATCTAAAAATTACATTAAATCTAATTTGGCTCATTGAACATACAAGTAACAATGTTATTGTTGTTAGGTGCCATCGAGTTGAGTACTATTCTTATTGCCCCTATGAGCATATCTCTGACACATTCCAGTCCACTGCTGTAATCATAGTGACATCTCATTGAGGGTCTTCCTCTCTTTTGTAGACCCACCACCTTTCCACGTATGATGTTCCTCTCTAGAAGAGATAGCCTCTCCTAGCAACATGCCCCTTTACCTATTTCCTAAGCACCTTGCCTGAACATAGGGGACTCATGGCCTACTGGGTAAGGAGTAGTGCTGCCAACCCAAAGACACATGGTTGAAATCCACCAGCTACTCCACAGAATTCCCTCTTGTTGAATATAATTTCCTCTGAAAACTCTGTAGAAGGTGAGCTATAATTTGTTACTGACTGGACAGTAACAACAATAACAATATACCCAACCCTGGTATGAAGAAAATGAATTATAGAACCAAACTATATTTAAAAAATTACTATTTAAAATTTCTGGGTAGCATATTTAGTGTTAACATTGTCTTACTGAAGCTTGCAACCTGAGTAAATTAGGAAATATTAGATATAAAATTCACTTATTAGATAAGAGAAAATAAAACTCTGTAATATAGATAAGTATAATCAGATGTTTATTATTAATTTAATTTTGCATTTTTAAAATTAATTGTTTTTAAAACTATGCATCATAAACTCTGTCAACGCAGTTGTTAAATCCTTTGGAGTGAATTTCAATTCATAGTGATCCTCTATGTTCAACAGAATGAAATCCTTCTCAATCCTTCATCATCTTCATACACTTAGCTGTTTGTCGCCCATTGCTGAAGCCACTGTTTCAATCCGCTTCATTGAGGATCTTTGCCACTGCTCTTCTAGTTTGCTAGTCATTATATCTCATCAATGGATTCCTGATGAGACATCCAAAGCATGTGTGACATTCTCCTTACCCTTATTTCTATGATGCATTCTAAATACACCTTTTTGCAAAACACATTTTTTTTGTTCTGACAGTCAATTATAAATTAAATACTCTGTGTTAGCAACATGATTCAGTGTCATCCATGTTCATCAGTCAACTTTTGTACACACATGAGGTGTTGAGAATATTGTGACATGGGTGCACTTACTTTTCATGAGTAGTTATACTTTTTTAAATACTTAAAGGAGGTCTTTTTACAAATTTGCAAATTGTAATATGTTTTTTGATTTCTTGGCTGCTGCCTCCCTGGACATTAACTGTGGATCCAAGTAAAGTGAATTTCTTGGCAAGTTCAATCTTTTCTCTGTTTTCATTATAGTGGGTTTTGGTCCAATTTTGGGTGTTTGTTTTTTTTAATTTTAATTTTGCATTTTTACAAAATTTGAATACATTGTTTTCAAGAACAAATGTTTTCAATTTACCTCCAGTTTTGAGGATTTTTATTGTCTTTATGTTGAGATATACTCCATAGTGAAGGTTATTGTCTTTGATCTTCATTACTTAAAGCTCTTTTTTTCAAGCAAAGTTATTCCATTTGCATATCACAAGTTGTAAATGAGTTGTCCACTAGG